CCCTCCGCGCCCTTACAGGCAGGTCCCATCTGTTCCCCACAGGCTGCACATGCCCCTACCTATCAGTGCTGCTCTAGGGGTGAGGGAACTGTCAGCCATGGGACGAAGCCATCCCCCTTCCTCATCCTCTCTGTCAGATGTAGACAATCCCCTACTTAGGGCAGGAGGAGCTGGGAGAAGCCTCTAAACCTCTGAACCAAGCCAACCCTTTGAGACACTGCACCTCAGCCCCCGATACCCTGGCCCCTCTCCTGAGCATCCGTCAGATGGAGGTTCCCTCTCGGCTCTAGAGGAACGCTAATGGGGCAGCTATTGCCGGGGGGAGCTCTGGGACGGCGTCTGGTACAGACTTCAGGCCCAGGCTCTTTCCCAAGCACAGCCTGCCTGAGCAAGATGAGGGCTGTCGTAGAGACTATTCATTCACTGTCTCCTTCCCCCAGGGAAGAGAGGAGCTCATTAGTCTGTCATTAGAAAGGGAAACCTCACATGTACTGCACAGGCACATCCCTCTCCTCGCAGTCCCGGTCAAGCCCACCCATAGGCCCAGGAGCCGGAGCAGAGACGGGGCTCTGAGGTTGCTAAATACCTTGCACCCTGCGGTGTGCGGGTGCTGCTTTGATGCCCCCAGGAGCTCTGCTGCCTTCTGACAGGCCCCTCCTGCCAGCAGGGCAGCCAAAGTAGCCGGCCAGACCCAGCCCAAGAAATGTCACACGCGCGCGCGCACACACACACACACACGTGTGCCACCTCACGCTGGCAGACTCCGGTGTTCCTTCTTACACAGGTTCACGCATTCATCACTCACTCAGGCGCACACACCACCCCCGTCGCTTTCCTTCTCGCACACCCGTGGACATGCACATGCAATCCCTCCCTCACGTGTGCACATACGCACACAATCTTTCTCCCTCACACACATATGTGGACCCACCCACATGTACACACACATGCACGCATGGACACACACATGTGGACTCACACACACAATCCCATGCATGTATGCGCATATGGACCCTCCCTCCAATGCATGTGTACACACACACATGCACACACCAGCTCTCTCCCACTCGCACGCTGTCCTCCTCCCACACTGTTCCTGGCCCTGCTTAGTGGTGCAGTCTGGAAGGGGCTGCCCCAGCCGGCTGGCAGGGGCAGCTCCCAGCCGTGACCACGCAGGGGACAGGAGCCTGGTGATGAGCTCATTAGACAGGTAGGTTATTCACAATTTTCCAGTTTGAGCTAAGGGGGTGTGAAACAAATAGCAGCATGGCGCAGTGAAGTGCTAGGGGGCAGGCCAAGGGTTCACAGCTTGCACACTCAGGGTCTAGTCCTCAATCACAGCTCATGGAGCAGTGACAGGTCTTCCTCGGGAGCTAGCCCAGCAGTGACAGGCAAGCAGGGTGCAGGGGCCCCGTTATCCCAGGGCCGAAACACAACAGCCAGGGGTGGTTCCCCCTTGGCCTCTGGGCCCCCGGACTCAGTTTCTGGGAGGCAGGTAAGCACAGATGGACATGGATGAAGCCTGGCTTGGCTGCAGGCAGAAGAAAAGGCTTTATTGCAGGGGGGAAAGCAGGCCCTATCATTTGCACTTCAGGGGCTGGGGAGCTCTGCAAGGGCCTGTGAGGTGCATGTTAAAGAGCAAGGCAGGCACCGGGGGAGGAATCCTGACAGGCTGCAGCAGGAACCGGAGGCTGGAGGTAGCCACGAGACTGGACGCAGCTGCAGTAGCTGAGCTGGCCAGGCCACCATCTGCGGTGCTTGCCTGGAAAAGAAGCTGGTGAAGGAGCAGGGCAGAGTTTCAGGGGCCCTGCTAACCTGCAGCGAGCGGCCATGGCCTGGCAGCAGCCTCAGCGCATGCCCTGGTGCTCGTGGGACAGAGGCTGCTGAAACCTGCCCGCAAATCGGTTGCTCACAAAGGTGAGGGATAAAGAGAGCTGGCTGGAGCCAGCAAGAGCACAGGAGCAAAGTCCCTCTGAGCTTGGGGGCTGTAGAGCTAGGCACTGTACATACAGATGCCAGAGTTGAGTAAAGCAATGCACAGCTGGATTCTGCTCCGCGGCACTCCAGTTCCCACGATATTAGGCTGGTCCAAGCAGAGGGGTGCAGCAGAGAGGACACAGACCCACAAGTCCTGCAGGGTGAGCTTGGGGCGGGGGGCCCTGTCCAACTCGTGGGTTTGACATCACCAAGGGCTCAGTGAAGCCAGGGTCCCTGGGGATCCTGCTGTCACCCTGACACAATGCCTCCTCGATTTACACCAGACAAACAGCAGAATCAGGCCTCAGCTTGGAAGTTGTGGGGCCAGGGCTGTGACACCTGAAGCAGGAGGAGCCTTGAGCCGCTGCTGTCCATGCCCGGAGAGGAGCGCTGTCCGTCTGCAGGCTCCTCGGGGAGAGGACAGGGTGTGATGAAGGCAGCAGCCAGGCTCCTTGAGCCTTTGCCCTGCTTGGGGACATCGCTCCTTCCTGCAACGAGCTCGCAGCTACATGCAACTCACTGCAGGGCTGGCTGCTCCGAGGAACTGGAGAGCTCAGCCTGGGTCCTTTGGCAATGAACGGAGGATGCTTTTGCACAAGCTGCCTCTCTCCCTTCTGCCTCCGCTGCTCTGTTAGCTCCTCATTAGAGCTGGGACCCCACTGATCAGGCCTCCATCTGCCTCCGAAAGCCAAGGCCCCTCATTGTTTATTCGGCCGTTATTAGGAATGAGCGGGAGCCGGGCTGCGCGGCGCTGGGGACTCCGGCCTCTGGAAGCCCCCCGCCGCCATGAACACAATCCTCTCTTCCTTTAATAAAAGCCTCGCGCTTTGTGTCTTTGGAGGATGAGGCTATTATAGCACTGACATTTCTCTCATCGCACACATCAAGGCGCCAGCCACCATGCATTGTGGGGAGGTGGGGGAGAGCAAAGCAAAAGGGAAAGACAGCTGTGGCCTCCTCTGCTCCCATCTCCAGAGAAGAGCGACTGGCAGCTGGGCTTGCCCTACAACTGAGGGCACCTCTGCGATCCTCCCCACCACCCCAAGCGCCCAAGGGGCCGTCATCCTGGAGCCCTCCCTGCTCCCAAAAGCAATACAGGTCCTTGGTGCAAGCCTCAGTCTTCCAGTTAATGCAAGGATGGGGCCTTGCTGGGTGGGGAGGGGAGTGCCAAGTGTTTCTGGAGATGCAGAAGTGGACCCAGCGTCAGTGGCTCCCTTCTCTCCAAGCCGCTCCTCCAGGAACAGCTTGGGCTGGTGTTGCCAGATGTTCCAAAAGAGGACTCCAAAACCCAGAGTCAGGGCAGCGCAGCTCAGGGCCTTTCCCACGTGTGACGGCACAGACGGGCCGTGTGAGGCTGCAGTAGAAAGAAGAGCACTTTCCTTTGAAAGACGAGTGCTCATTAAAAGCAGCCAGAGCTGGCCAGCCAGCCAGCTGCCCACGCAGTGCATCCCCCCGGGGAGCTCTCGGCAGGAGGGGCTGGTAAGCTTGAGCTTCTGTACCACCACTGAACTTGGCAGCATGTCCCTGCCCTGGTCTACCTGTCCATTATAGCACGGCCCTGATCCCAGGCTCTCTGCCTCCTAGCCCCATGGCATCAGAGGGCACTGGGCTGCTGCTTCTACCCCCGGAAGCTCCCCATCTTCTCCCCCTCCCCAGTCATCCATGGTGGCTCTACTGGCATAGGTGCTTCACTTCCTGTCCTCAGCTCGAATGGGGAAAGATGCTGCTGACTATTAAGATATCATCGCACCGAGAAGTATCCTTCTCATTCGAGTTGAGGATAGCAAGTGGGACACATACAGTACTAAAGAAGTGCCCAGAAGCTCCAATCATAAGATCAGAGCCCTGCAGAGACACGGTGAGACCTCACCCAGGCAGAGAGAGGGAGAGATGATGGAGGCTGCAACTCAGCCCTAACCTTTGTGGAGTGCCTACCCCACAAAGTGGCATCCCTTCCTCCCAGCTTTCTGCTGCTCTCTGGGCACTGCCACCTGCCTTCAGAGAAAACTGCAGATAAGGCTGCAGGGGCAGTGGGTGTGAGAGCAGGGATCGGGGTACCAGCTCCAGCTGAGGCTGCTAAGGGCTTTGGAGTTCGCTTGGGGCACAACCCAAAGCAGCAGATAACGGTGTAGCAGGCTGGGGAGGAAGGGCCTCAGAGCAGGGGGCTCCCAGGCAGACAGTGCTTGCAGGGAGTGGAAATGGCACGTATGATGCCTTGGGAAATCTGACCCTGAGGGTGCCAGGGAGCAGTGCTAGCATGGGCCTGCTTCAGTCACCTGCCAGTGGCCTAGACAGGCCCCACTTCCGGGCAGGTCTATTTTTGGCAAGTCTCTCTATGTGAACTGGGGATGAATCACTTTCCCACTCTGTGCCTCAGTTTCCCAGTCTGTAAAATGGACCTAGCAGCCTATAGTGACCCAGGCAAGATGCTATGAGGGCCTGCAGGGGTCACGGGCACCCTGAGATGACAAAGGGCAAAAGCCTACATGTGGCCCCACTCTGCAGCACCCTCATACTCATCCCCACGCGGCGGTCCTTGCCTATTCCCCCAAAGCCTATTACAGATGCCTTGAAAACCCTCAGATGGGGGATTCCCCATCCAAGAACTGTCAAGAGAAGGGTGGGGCGGTAGCCCTGAGGTTGTGCCAGGTCAGCAATAAGTTCCCCTCTGCCACACAATCCAAGAGAAAGGCCCAAGCAGAGGAGATGACCCCAGTTGTCTTTCTTTTACTTCCACGGCACAAATAGGAGCCCTCGGCTGGGCTCTGCCGAGGGCACCGAAGCCCCTCAGGGAAGGCTGGGACATGGGTCAGCTCCAGTGCTTTCTCACACTGTCCTGACCACGGCACCTTGTTCCCACCTGCTTGCCAGCCATGGTGCTGGGCAAGGCTGTCCTTGCCCCTAGCAGTGCCCACAGGGGATGGGAGGATTTCCAGGCAGACTAGATGTGATCCCAGGATCCAGAGTCACCAGGCTCTTTGCCCTGTCCCACCCCGGGCTCCTGCCCCAAGAACGCTCCTTACCTGGAGGTACTGATAGGCTCTGTCTTTGGCCTTGGCCTCCTGCAGCATCAAGGTTTTCTCCTGGCTGCCTCCTGAGCTGGGGTACGCCTCCCGGGCCTGGCTGACCGTCATGGTGTGCCAGGCGCTCCTCTTCAGCGTCTGGCCGTCCAGCGACATGGACATCCCGGCACAGGCCAGGCACTTGCCCTCCCCCCCGCTCTTGAGACTCTTCAAGGTCAAGTCTCTGAAGGCACTTTCGGGCGCGTCCACACAGTACTGGGTGCCCTGGTCCACGGCGTGCCGGCCTGACACCATGTAGCTGCTGTCGCTGTCCAGGTTGTCGTCGGAGCTCCACCAGCCCATCATCTTGGTGCGGTGGCGAGAGTCCAGCTTGCGGTCCTTGCTCTTGCTCCGCTTGCCGTGGCGGGACTGGTGATGGTGGTGATGGTGGTAGCCGTCCCCTCGGCCCTCCATCTTGGTGCCGTTGTACTCCCGCTTGGCCGGGGCCTCCAGCGAGTGGGACTTGGCAAAGAGCTTCTGGACGGAGTGGACCAGGTGGCGGATGCGGCTGGGGCTCTCGCTCCGCTGCTCCGTGGTGCTGGCCCGCTGGTACTGCAGGGTGTGGAAGCCGTCGTGGTGCAGTGGCAGCTGCTTCTCGAACTGGTCCAGCAGGGTCGGGGGGAGGCGGTTGATCTTGCTGGAGGGGTGGGTCGCAGCCATGCACTCATCACACGAGTCGTACTGCTGCGGCGTGTGGTGCATCCTAGGGAAGGTGCTGCTGCTGCTGGCTGACAGCGGTTCGGTTAGGCTCATCGGCCCGCCCGGGCACTCGGGGCTCCGAGAGGGGCAGTAATGCTGGTCCAAGGAACAAGGCTCGCTGGGGCTGAGGAGATATGACGGCCTGCCTTCCTGGCCGTGGCGGATGAAGTCCATGGGCTGCTCGCAGTCCTCTGGGATGCAGTGGTAAGGATGCCCCGTGGAGTGCTGTGACTGGCTACGCTCCCCATGATAGCCCTTCATGGTGTCAGAGCCCTACGCGTAGCCACCGCATTCTGCAGGGTTGTCCCTGCCGGGTCACCTGCAAAGACAGGACAGGTACATTAATCACCTCCTGAGCCCTCATCATGCATCCAGGCCTTGGGCCCACGTTTCCAAACCCCCAAGCCTCTGCCTTATTCCCCAGCCACGACAGAGAGCCAAAGGGGACCTTTTCAGACCTGCATATCTATATGGACCAAACGTATGGTCCAGATGTTCCCCATCACAGTCAATCAGCAGAGCTCT